ACATTTCCCTAATGACACAGGAGAAAGAGAAAAAAAATATTTTCCCCATGATCCCATTCAATTTTTATTCTCTTGGAGGCTCTTGGGAACTGGCTACATAAAATAATTTTATTCCTCAGAATATTCAGTACCAAAGGAAGCTTGATAGGTAGAATTAATACTGTTGAAATGGGAAAGAATCTTCATTTTCTCTCCCTGCTGTGCAGTGAATAACTACCACAGAAGAGCAGGAAGAGGCCAGTGGTCTGTCCTGGCTCCATCCCATGACCTGAATCAGGGTTGTGAATTTCCAGCCTCTGTCCTGCCATAGTCTGGGCCAGCTGGAGTTTGTTCACACACTCCAGGTCTGACATTCCTTTTTATTTCAGCATATCCAAGGGCTGAACTATCCTCTCCCACACCCCCTGCCCTCTCCTCAGCTGCTGTTCAGGGCTCTCAGTATTTACAGTCTCTTGCCTCAAGTGCCTCAAGTTCTCCTCCCCATGGTGGCAAAATCCAACCTGCACCACATGCCCCCCTTCCGCCTGTCACTGTCTCTTTCCAAGTCAAAACCACCTCCAGAATGAGCACATGAGCCTTCAGAGGCAGCTCCCCAAGAATTGCAAATGCAGAATGAGTTTGGAGAAAGGACATTCTCTGATCTCATGGACAGTCTGCATTCCTCTCTGCTCACATCATCTGCTGTGCTCAGTAACATTCTGCTCTTTTCCCTCTCATCCTGAAATACAAAACCACAGCTTCCCATGGCTCCAGAGCACATCCTCTCAGGGCACATATCTTCTCAAACTGAAGGGTTTTTAGGGCTGGGCCTGCCCTCTCATCAACTGTGAGGGATCTATTGCAATTTTGGGCACAGAGACTACAATTTATGTAAATAGAGCCTAAATATTCCTTTAAATCAGGTTCAAATTCCATGATCCCACTTTCAGTTTTACTGGAGACATACCTGGATTTGTGTGCCAGGAGGATTTCTCCTAATTTTTGACCTCAGAGAGAACAACGGTATAGAAAGAGTAAGGAGAGTAAAGTTAAACTCATGGGTTTAACTGAAAAACATTAGGGATGAAAAGTTCTGAATTAAATAATGCATTTTATTTGTACAGTAAGAGTAAGAGCACCCAGAGAAACTAAAGAAGAAAAGCTGAAACAGATTATAGAAGAGTATGGAATCTGCTAATTTAAGAGAAAAATATAAGCTAATTAAGATATTGATGCCCACAGTTAAGTGTCCCATTAAATTAGAAAGCATGTCTCTAATTCAAATGAGATGCTTTGCTGGCTAAATACTCAGTTCCTTTTTCTCCTCGTCTTCAAGAACTGTAATATCTCAAATGGAATACAATGAAATAATTTTAAGAAAGATTTGGGAATGTCCTGCTAGAGGAGGCAAGCATAATTCCTATGCATTCACTTTTACAAGGTCTGGCTATGTAGACATATTCAGGACAATTCATCTGAAATAAGTAGATTCCTAAACTATTTGTTTGTAGCTCTATGCCTATGTTGAAAATTAAGTTGTTTTTCATTCATCTTAGGTTAAATTATTCTGCAATAATAAAATACAGATCATCAGCACCAAGGTAGGAAATGGTGTCCCTCTCACACATTAAACACAATTTAACTGTGACAAGTTAATTCAGTGTGGATGCAAATCTGGTTTCACACATAAAAGAAATTAATATTATCCTAACCTTTAATGTGCAAATGTCTATTTTTTGTTACTATTTTTCTTCTAGGACACAATATCAGGCAGACTTCTCTCTGATTACTGTCATGAGATGTGCAGTAAGAAATCCTTATTCTAGTCCTTGATTTCTATAGCTTGCAGTGAGCAGCTGACCATGGAGCCAGCTGAAAGATGATGAAGGAAGAGAATAACTCAAATTTGAATTACAGTTCATTTAAATATCTGAGGAAAAAGCATGATGTTTTGCCTAACTTTGGGAGGAGGCACAGAACACCCTTGGCTTTTTGTAAACTGAAGTTTTGCTCTCTGGGTCCTCTCTGAAGGATCAAGTGACTTGAGCAGCCTTCACTCAGTGTCTTTTCCCTATTTTTCTCTTGCCCAGAAAGAAGTGTAGCAGGGTGATGTTCCTGCAGACATTGGTCTACAGCTCAGCTTCCCTGTCTGCAGGCCATGCTCTTCACTGCTTTACAATAGATACCACAAGTTATCCCAGGATATTCCTTGGGCTATTCCATGCACCCACAACTATCCTGTAACACTAATTCAGACTGCTCCCACTTTTTAAAAGTGTACAGAGCCTGTTCTTGACACAGCTATACTGGTACTATACATATATTTCTATGTTTATGACAAATAAATAAATTAATAAATTTACAACCAACATAAATTTGTACCTGAACTTATTTTTCTCATGGACAAGCACTCTGCACTATATGGCTCTCTTCAATATTACACGTCCAGAATCAATTATAAACCTTTATATTTCCCTAGCAGCAAGGTTAAAATTCAATTCTCTTTTATTGCAGCTTGCAAATACAATATACTCTCCAGCTGGCTTGCAGAAGCTCCTCAGTTAAATCATCTTGTGCAACACTGCTTCTTAGTCACTGGTACCTCCCTACACAACAACCTGACAGCCCCACACTTCCAGGTTATTTATTGGTCTGTCCTTAAATGGGAGAGTTATTTTACAACATATTTGCTTTTTATTGAAAAAAGTGGACTGCAAAGAAAGTTTTGTGTTTCTTTTTTGTTTTGAGGGGTTTCTGTGTGAGGGCACAATGGTGTTTTTAGGTTTTCAGTTTCTCCTGGAGGCTTTGAGTCCATGCTGTCGTGCTTTGTGCCTCTGCCCAGTAAATCAGCTGCCTGGTTCTTTGTTTTCAGGGTTTAAAATACTGTTACCACCAGAAAGTGAAGTGATGTGTTAGCCCAGCAGAGTTCCTGCATTACTGAACTGAGGCAGAAAACCAAAGGGAAATGATCCACTGGAATCTATATTCCTTCCCTCCCCACAGCTCCAGAACATGAGATTATTCTGCTTGTTAGAATAACTGCTTATCTGCCTATGGCCAGGGCTGCTGTTTCCTGGAATGTTGAGAAGGTCCACACCTAATTACAGGGCTGACTTGATTATTTTTGTCCAACTCACACTTTAAAGAAATCCATCACAGCTTATCCCCAACCAAGGAAAGTAAATGAACTTACTGGAAGGATCAATATACTCCAAAAGGGTGAGGCAGGAATAAAGAGGGAAATTGGAGCACCTTTCTACAGGGTCCTATAAAGGCTGAGAACCTTCAGTGTGAGTTAATTGTTTCTGCTACCAATTCTGCAGCTCCCAAATACATCCAGGTTTTCCTGCTTTGTTTACAAGGCTGTCACCTGGCAATCCTGGCTGTTACATCTGCATCTTTTTGTCTGACTTGACTGGATATTCCCAGGGACAGGGACTGTGCCTTGTCTGCATTTTAAAAGTAAAGATGCTCACATAATGCATAATTACTATACAAAACAAACTTAACATTCAAGGCAGCTTTGTTGGGTTTTCCTTTCTATGACTCAACAAATTTGTTACCTTGAGGTGCTAAACACAGTTATGAGAACAAGAGTGAGAAAAAAAAGTCAGTTTTGCTACTATAGAATTATGTTCTCATTTCATAGAAATCCACTGGTGCTGACACTGTTATGTGCTGGTTTCCCCTCTCCTCCTAGGTGTTATTTTTGTGAAAGTGCAAAGCAGCACCTTCCCAGCAACATCTGACAGCCAGGAAGACTGAGTATTTTTGGCATTTTCACAGGCAGAAATTATAGCACAGAAAACAATAGGTACAGGACCAATGATGCTGACAGGTATCACAGAAAGCTGCATTTATATAGTAATTCCAGAAGAAACTCAAGTCCAGCTAGTAAAACACTTTTCAAAGGGGAAATGGGCTCTTTCTAGATGCCTGTCCTTGACTGCCCTTTTTTCTAAAGAATCCAATTAATAATCCTGAAAAATTTATTAGCCACACTGTTTTGGTTGCTGGGATTTCCCAGTGCTATCTGAAAGGATAATCAGCCCCTGGGGATGCTCAAAGCCTTTGCTAAGGGGGGTCAAAACCTTCCCTCACCAACAAAGAGCTGCTGCTCTTCTCCTGATATCTTAATGCCCCCATCAGTGGCAGAGAAAATCTGTGCATCAACACCTTACAGAGCACCTGGTCTTGGGAAATGTTTATTAATGATTGCTGTGTTATGTATTGGGGGTGACTATGTGGAAAAAACATCCCCATTTTTGCCCGCAGGACTGCAATGTATTTGTTTTCCTGGATTTGCCACACATGGTTGGGCACAATTAGCATTTGCAGGAGGCCTGGGTAACAGGTAAGCACAGCCCTAAAACGGGGCTTTTCTCCTGAGAGCCCCTTTGAAGCTCAGGTTGGAGCAGGCAGGGGTTCAGCGTCACAAATCCGCTCACTCCAGCTGCTTATGGGGAGAGCCATTGCAATGCCCCCACGGCTTCCCAAAGGCACTGAGTCAAACATCTCAGCACAGCACAGAAAAAATTAGGGTCCCTAATGGGAAATTAGTGGCACTGTGGCTCTTGGTCATCCTGCCTTTTTATTATTACTGCTCATTAATTCTGCCCCATCTGCATGCAGGAGCCCCCATAAGTGACACTGCAAAGGACAAGGGTGACAATCCCTCCTTCAAGACTAGAGCAATGCCTGGAGCCTGTTAAATCTGAGATGTTAATCCATGAAGTTTTAGGCTTTACTTTTTGACTGTATCCAGCAGGGCTGGTACAGTGCATTTCAGAGCTGGGAAACCCCTCCCCTTCACTTGTACTTCTGAAAAGCAGAAGATTTAGTTCAATTGACAGAGTGCATTCCTCAACATTTAAAAATGCATTGGCTTCAATTTCTATTGTTAACTCGAGCTCTCTCTTGAAACATATAAATTAGTGTTTGGCTGAGAATTCCCCTGTGAGTTGCAGAATACGACAACTTGCACGCTCCAGAACTGTAAAGCAAGATGAAGCATCCCCAGCCCCTTTGCCTTTAAAATGCCATGGAAGCACGGAGGCTCTCGGCAGAACACCTTATCTGCTCTCCAAAGCTGTGACTCTCCATCCTTCCCCGATGAAGACCCAGGGGATTGCTTGCTTAGCATACACCAGAGGCAATGGGTAGGGTGAGCAGGCGCTGCAGCCAGAAACCCCCAGCGCCGAGCGCGGGCGATTCCCCGCACAGGCAGAGACTTGGGAGCTGAATTGTGCTGAGCAGAGAGCCCCGGCTGGGGCTGAGCGAGCCATGTGTGCCCGGCAGGAGCAGCTCCGCTGAAAAGCAATGCAGTAAGTGCTGGGCTATTGCAGCAGGCAGCGCTGCCCGGGCTTTGCAGCTTCTGCTGCGAGAGGCACAGCATCCATCCAGCCCGGAGCAGGGGCAGGGCTGCCTGATTTTTGTGCTTGTTTCTAAGCGAAGTGGAGGGATGGAGTGGGTTTGCAGTGCCGGGGGCTGTGGGGTTTGTTTGCTTTGTGTGCCCGTGTGGGTGTTGCAGGGCAGCGCTCGCTCTATGTCCTGTGCTGAACTAGGGCTGCTGACTTTGGGGGGGATTTCTCTGCTTGTGCTCAATAACTTCATGTCAGCAGGCATTTGTGTTTTCCTTCATCATGCAGCATGGGTGCAAACTATTCTCTGTACTAGTACAAGGTAGTCTGGTGCTGGGTTTACAGGGGCTGTGCCTTTGGGTGATGATGAATTGTGGATTGAAACTATGTGAGTGAGTGCCCTGATGGTGGGTAATACTTTTATTTCACTTCAGCAGGTATGGCTAATTCCTAGTTTGTGGTAAATTCTGCACTGTGCTCTGGAATTGCTTTTTTGGTAGATAAATGTTTGTAAGCAGTACTTTATCCTAGCAGAGCTGTGGCTTTCTTCAGATTCTGATGTTCTGTTACTGTACTCTGCAGCAGCAGCTTTCTGCTTGTACTGAGTGGGAGAGGGAAAGCATGAGTTAAAGTTTGCTTTATATGATGAAGGATTTTTACATAGTTTGAAAGTGTTTGCAAAATTCAGCATTTGGGCATTAATTGCAGGCCTTTGGAAAGATCTGTGCAGCATTTAAAGGAAATTTAACCATACAGTTTTTGTTCTGTTACTTAGAAACTAATACCAAGCTTCATTCCTCTGGTTTCTTGGTACAGCTTCCTCAGTGACTTATGAGCTCTGGCTTTAGGATAACTGCCTGCCTTCAGCCTCTCTGCCATTTTGGGCTTCAGGCATGTTTAACACTTCAAGGCAATGTCTGCGAAATTTTTTTAAGAGAGCAACTGCCAAAAGTTAGGGATTCTCTTTTTGCTGCTCAGTCAAATGTCAATAATAAATAGCCATTGTAAAGGAACTCTAATGAAACCATTCCTTGGTTTTCCCACTCAATATTTGTTTGTAAGTTGGGTTTTATTTAGTTCTTGTAAAATAATGAAGAAAGAAATATTCCTCTGATATATGTCATTTTAGTTTCGCGCAAAATTTGTGGCATCACTAATTTAAAGGGATAATTCTCAAAAATTAGGCAAATAAAGTTCAGCTTCTTCTAAAAGAGGTTTTGCAGAGATGCTGCTGAAGATGAGTGTAATGTTTAGTCCCAGGCACAGCTGATCAGACTAAAAAATACCCTGGAATTTCTGGCACCTTTTCACTCCCGTGCAACATGCATGTCTTGGAGTTTTTTCCTTGAGATTAATGCTCAGGTGCTGAAAAGTGATATTTCCTCTGACACTGCAGTCAAAAGAATTTTCTCCTTTTCATCTCAGAGAAGCTTTATGGCATATGCTGTTATTGAGTTGCAATTGCTAAGATAATGCAAAATTAATAAGTCCTAATTATTCTTCACTAGTTGCACAACTTGAAGATGAACAAATCTACAAGGAGGGTGGATCACATCTAAATCTGATCTGCTCCCCCCTCCTTTTCTCTCCAACCCCTACTTCTCCCCTTCTTTTTATGAGCCTTTGATAGGTGCTATAGTTGCTCTCATTTAAGGACCTGAACCTAAGATCAGTGCAATTTTTCCAGTCACTGGTTCACAATCTGTGTCTGCCTCATCTGCCCGTTTTCTCCATGTAGATTTCCAGCAAAGCCAGTAGCAAACTTGGAAGATATGAGAATTTATTATAAGATATCTCTGACTGAGCATTACAAAGCTGGTGTTATATCTGTCATGAGGAAAGAGCAGGGTTTTTACCTGTAACTAAAACGTGCTGAGAACACACAGTTTTGATGACATTATTATCAGATATTTTCAGGTAAACTAACTCCAGTAATTTAACAAGCAATTGTTTTCAAATTATTTCCTCTGAGGTACAAAACAGGGGAGGGAAAGAAATGCAAAAAAGAGTTGGATATTGGAAAGTCACTGGATTCATAATGAGAATCAGAAGACAAAAAGGAAGATTATGTCTGGTTTTATGCTTTCACGCAATTCTGAGTCTTTAATCAAAATGTGTTTCCTGAACTGGAACCTCAGAATTATTTGCCAAATATTATTGTTCATGTCAAATGTAAAATGGAGAACATTGGGTATAAAATCTAATTTCTCAGCCTAGAATAAGCATATTAGTAAACATTATGTTTTCACCTCACCTTGTCTGTAAGTAACCCTGGCAGGAGCCTTGCCTCAGAAGTCAAGTTCACTTTATTGCATTGCAACCTGAGACACGAGCACGCAAAGGGAAGTTTACTAATTTTGTCCTACATTACCAGTAATGAGCTGCAAGTCAATTTAATTAATGGAGAGTAGCTGCTCAACATTTGTAGTCACCTGAACTACTTTAATTTGCATCACTGTATCTCTACCAGCTTTTGACATGTAGAGGCATGGACAGATTTACAAGAGAGTGAGAAATACCACTGTCATTTAAGTACCAGAGGCAAAACTTCCAGCACAAAACTGGATAAAAGAATATACAGAGGGTGGATAAACATGCTGCATAATTCCAGAGGCTAGTGGAAGTGTGTGTCATTGTTGCACCAGGAAGCAATGGCGCAGACGGTGTCACATTAACAGACACGGCATTCAGTTCTCGAAGAGATAAGTTAGCTCTGTTTGTACAAAAGTGGGGAATTTTTGTACCATGTTCAGTAGAACTGTCATGTTTGTAAAGAAATACATCTTACAGCTAGTGACGTCCAAAATGTGCCACATACATAGTCAATAGTTTCTTTGTGGTTACAAAAGAAAGGACATTTTCTTCCTTTCTTGTTTTTCAAGGGTAGACTTTCTGATGGCGTCAACTACTTAGATATGCTGCATAGTAATTATTTTATTCATATGTATGAAAGAAAATATCTTAGAATCTTCATTATACTTATCTGCTGCGAGCATCAAGATTGAATTTAACTAGGATTTTCAGATATATGCTTAGACAGTCCATTTTCAACAACAGAATGAATATGCTATTATTTTCTACTATCACTTCTTCCCAAGGGCAATTACTTAATACTCTGTAATAGCTACAATTTAGGATACTTCATTTGCCACAGTGACTCTCCTCACTTTCCACACCCACACAAACCCCAGAACCTACTGTGAGTAAGGCAGCAGTGCAGTAGCATTCAAGGAGGATTAAAGGACTAGGATTGAGTACTTCCTAAAGCCTGCAGCCTGAGCTGTCATTTAAAACAGGAGCAAAAGTGATGTTCCTGCCTCTCCCAAGTGCTATCCAAAAGGTGTAGATATGCACACAAAACCCATGCAGAATTAGAAGGATCACATGCTATGTTTGGCAAAGTATCTTCAAAGTGCACCTGGCAAGGCAGGGTGACCTTCAGAAAGTGCAGAGGAGCTGGCCCACAATTCTGTCACCTTCTGCATCTATTCCTTAAAGCTTTAGGCAAGAATTCTGGCATCTGGCTTTTTGGAGGATAATTCAGGACATTGAACTTTAAAAGGAGGCTGTGGAAGTCTATATTCTAACAAACTTAGCCATGAGCAACAAACTGCAAATCAGCATCTGATTTTCACTGAAACATCTGGAAGAAACTCCAAATGCCACGTGCTCTGAACCTTCATGAGTTCATGGCACCTTTAATGATCTTTTCTTTCCTCTTGGACACATATGTAAAGAAAACAGTGTGAACTAAACAAGGGTTTGTTTGAATGATGGTTGCAGAGACACATACCTCTTCTCAGCATTATTTTAGCATTTGAGTTTCAAATCTATTTCATCCAGCCCTGGGGAGACCAAGCCTCTGGGGATCCTATTCATGATACTCAGAATTCACAGTAGTCAGGCAGAGAGATTCCTAGACAGGAAGAGCATTGTATCCCCCAGTGTCAGTCAGGACTTTGTTCAGAGGGAAAGATGAGGAAATGAGACAGAAGGTTGCTGAAAACACAGATGCTCACATTTCTTCTGCTAGAAACAGGGAATGATTTATTTCTTTTTATCATAAATCACAGGTTTTCCTTCAAGGCTTTGCTTTAGACTTTCAGTCAGTGCTGATGGCTGTGAAGAATCACATGCCCAAGCAAATCTAAACTATCTGGTGGAAAAGCCTTCCATTTCTCTCCCTGCCCCATCTGATTGATTTCATGATTACTGCAGAATTTGCTGCTCCACACATTTATTTTATCTTATAAACCAGTCCAAGCAGCTGATGTCACCCATCCAATTTTGTTTCTATATTTACACTCAAGCTCCCATTCTCTCTGTCAGCCTGACCAACATATCTATGACTTCTTACCAAATAACCATATCACACCATGTGCTGCAGAATTGTTTTGGGTTTTCACCAGTTCAGTTTAGAATTCAGCCCTCAGTCTGAGCATAATTCAGCTGGGAGGAGATCAGTTCTAGAATCACAGAGGGGTTTGGGTTGGAAGGGGCCTTAAAGCTCATCCCTTTCCAACTCCCTGCCATGGGCAAAGAATCTTCACTAGACCAGGATGCTCAGAGATCCACCAGCCTCTTCTAGAACACCTCCAGGGAAGTGATTTTTAAAAAGCCTGGTGAGAGCCATGGGCCAAAAGCCACATCAGATATTATGAAAAATAATGAGATTGAAAAGAGGGGGAAACCTCAGCTACCAACACAGAGGGAGCCAATTTTTGTCAGTAAGATCTTGTCAGGAAAATGTCTCCCATTGTTAGAAGTCCAAATAATGATAAGTCATAATTGCTCAAAGTCAAGAAACTCAAAGTAACCAAACGACAAAGACTGAACTCTGAAAAAATAAACATTGTATTCATTTTGTCTTTCATTTTGGGGTAATCTTAAGGATTTATACTTCAAAGCTTTCATCTTCAAGCATATGAGAGCATTGTAGAATAAAGACTTTTATATCCTTGCAC